TTTTCGAACGATACAATCATCCTCTTCTTATTAGATTGCTGATAATGTCACAAGAGAGTGTTACAAGTTCTATCCTCCAGCCCTCCTGATCTTCCGGACCACTTGATTTCAAGAATGTGAAGTGCTTCATCATTTTGGCATTGCTAATTCTTTTTCTCAAATAGAGGCATAACATGCATCAACTTGCTTCAAGGACCTTCCTCATTTTAGACTGTCTTGTTTGAAAATATTTTTCCTCCTTTTTTTTATCAAAGAATGAAAGAATTTTGTAAATTCTTGTCCCTTATAGGTTCACAATTGAATCAAATCATAAAACATGAGTTTAATGAATATTAAATAAATTAACTACTTTTTTTAAATTATTTAAAAATCATAGTCCTATGACAAGTTTCAAAATTATTAACTGGTTTAAGGTATAGGTTGATTTTGGTAAAGTAAGGTCTCTTAGGTTGGTCCAACATATATGTCTCTTTTGAGCTTCCACGAACTTGAAGAAATGGTTTCTATGCTCATCTCATAGAGATATTTCTTGATTCTAGAATCTCAGGAACGTCTTTGGGATGTGTGGTGCTTCATCAAGAGTTTAAGATCATCTCTTATATCGTTGTTGCACTATTCAATACTCAAGTCACCTTTTCAGGTTTTTAACTCGAATCATCATTTGGCTTCAATATGTTATTCAAAATTTACATCTTGAACCATCTTTATTATATATCATGCAAACCAATTTTTGGTGAAAATCATCCTGAGAGGCGGAATGAAATCTGAAGATAGTCTCTTTTATTTAGAAATCCATGTATGATTAGAATGAACTTTTCAGGTACGTAACGTAGACCAGGACTCATAGTTACGAAAAAAGGGATAAAAAAAGCCCAAACAAGTTTTTAAGGGTAACTGAACCAAGGATCAATTCATTATGATGCCTTCAATCTTGCCTTGCTTGACTTGGATCTGCTTTGCTACTTGTCTTTCATCATTTCTTTTTCTAAATCCCTTTAGACTGCCAATTTTTGGGTTCATTTCCATTTTCTTATATCTCCAACATTTCTTGCACTATGAATCTTTGAATTGATTACACTTGATCAACCTTGTAACTTGAAGCTCAATGAGTCACCTATCTTGATTCAATTTTTTTCTTTTCTTTTCTTTTCTTTCTCTTTTCTCTTTTCCCTTTTTTCTTTTTTCTTTTTCTTTTTCTTTTTCTTTTCTTTTTTTTCCTTATTTTCTCTTATTTTCTTTTTTTTCTCTGATGGATGAGTATAAGACTTCAATTACTTTTGAGTACCTCCTTTTCCTCTTGCATTTGTTATTCTTGACTGGATTTGATCTTCAAGCACCTCATATTTGACCTACCTTGTGGTTCAAAACTCTCTTTAGTTCATAGAGATTTATCTTCATAATAAAACTTGATTGACAGTCTTTTATTTCTGTGAGCAAATATCATTCACCTTGCCCCACAATATGGAGGGTGATCCTTGGTTAGGGTTGAATCAGAAGCAAATTCAAGCTCAAATGTAGACAACAAAGGATATATTTTTCTTCTTTTGCGAAGGGATAAATGAAAGAAAGTCGTTCATCATTTCATACACAGAAACCTTTGTAAAAAGAGGTATCCACAGGGATAAATGTCTGACTAAGCACCTTCATCAAAGCATTTCGGTGTACTTCAAAATTTATCAACAAATCCAGAATCGAAATTCGTGCTTATTGCTTGTGTAACTGCTCAATTACACTATACTCACTATGTTTCAAGAATTTCAAAAACTCTTGTGCTTGTGTTTCAGTTATTGGCTCATTAATTATTAGTGAGGGCTCATCATTAATACCTTCTGTGGTACCACTGCAGATTTTCCCTTTTCTTTCGATGTTTCGGAAGAGTAACACCTCTCACTTCTTGTGAAAAATCCTACTTTACTCACTGTTTCGGTTGTCAAATCAATTCCATGTGCTTTCTCTTTTTCTTATGTTTTCTCCAAAGAAACAGGTCTTAATACCATTGAAATATTGGCAGTGTAATTCCAAGGTACCTTGTGGGTATCCTTAAACGGAAATGGTAAATGGATTATGATAACCATTTTTGGTTTTGCTGACACAAGATTCATTACAGATGGTTTTACAGTGATAATCACAGACTCACTTGTTCTATGCATGGGCTTGAAATCTTCTGATGTGCAGATATCCTCTTCTCTTATTCCTTCATCTTTCTCAGAGAATTCTATCATCCTCATATTTCTTCTTGCTTTGAGCCTGCCCCAATTACTTGAAATTCTTTTCGACAAATTGATCTATGATGCCCCATCTCATTTCTTCATACAGGAAGATTCACGGATAATTGAAAGTTTGGCACTTTTGAGGTATTTTTGTTTCACCAGTATGATGGTTTTGTATCTAGAAGGACAAATGTGTGACTTTTGAAGTCATGTATATGGTGGAAGGTAGTGTTATAAACAAATCATCTCTACTCAAAAAGTAAACATATGGATTTGGTTTCTCAAAAATAGATAGAGACATTACTTCAAAGTCTCAGATAAATGTAGTGTCAGGATTTGGTTTTGGTAAAGGTAAAAAATAGATCATGTAATTGTATTTCTAGCATTGTATGGGATATTAAAGGTCTAATTTTACCACTTTCCAAAGATCTATAAAACTTGAAAAATTAAAAAATATTTAATTTACAAGATACTCCAAAACTTAAAGATTAAATTTGATTCCTTGCTTATAACCATAAAAGCAACACAAATTTATTTATATAACCTTAAAAAGGTTACTACAGTGGTAGATAACAACTTCCACTTGTTTATTTAGCATGCCCCGTTACTCCTAGAATATGGGGTGTATAATTGGACCAGAGTCCTTGTCCTCATTTGCCCCTCCTTTATTGATCATCTTTTGTGTCAACTTCTTTAGATAAACCTTCAGATGCACAAATCTCTGCTTCCTCCTGAGCAGTTTCTTGGTAAAATCTCATCATCATCTTTTTCTTCCTCGACTGGAAATTGGGCTCAATTTTAGATCCAGAACAAATTTCCTTGGTGATGACAGTTTTGTCTTGGTTCTGAATGCTCATTGTAGCTACAATTGGGGTAGTATTCACTAGACTCCTTCTGCCTCACTTGTCCTCCGAAAATCTGATATAAGTATTTGAGGTTTCTTCAGGGTTGCATCTGTCCCATTCATTTTTAAACCTATGGGCCAGTCTCGAATTACCTCTTCTTTCACTTATTTTTCATCATTTATAATCAGAGAGGTATTGAGAGTTGAATCTTTTATCTCTGGTGCAAATACCTTGTTTTCCTCGTCCTCTGGTGTATGTACTTCAATTATTCTGATACTATCAACTCCATTTTGGGGTTTAATTCCCAATTATTTGACCAAAACATACAGATTATTAGCATATACTTCTATGATTCCACGAACTAACAGATCTTGAACTCGTCGTTTGAAATTACCACAATTCTCGATAAAGTGTCCTCGGATTCCAACGTGATATTCACAAGAAACTTTCTCATTATACCAATTCGGGTAAGGAAGAAACAAAGGCTTAGCCTGACATGGAGCAATAATCTGAGCTTGGAGCAACTTGTAATATAACTTGTTGTACGAAACTGAAGGAAAATTGGGCAAAAATTCCTTTAACCTAATTTTCTTTTTGCCATCATCTTGAAAACTTTGTGAATGATCGTCTAGATTTTTTCTTTGTTTAGCTTTCTTCAATGGCACTTGAACTTCTTCCATGCTTCTCTTTAACTTGATCTATGTCGTATTTTCTGAGATCATACCCGATTTTTAGAGATTTATTGGATTTCTACATTCCCTGACAAGTTCCTGGTCATTTGTTTTCATCGCATCAACTACATCACTAACATTCATAATCCCATCCAAATCTTTTACAACGGAATCCTCTCCATGGATCACAACATTCACCATGTCCCTTAATTTGGTCAATTGTTCCTTTAAATCATCTTGAAACTTTTTTGCTTGATCCATTTGTTCCTTTGAATCATCCTGAAACTTTTTTGCTTGATCGATCATCTCTTGTTGAGTCTTTATGAGTTGCTTTTGCAGTTTCTCAATTCTACCAACCTTGCTAAAATCTCATTCATGGCTCTTGTCTTTCTCTAGGAAGACCAAGTTAGCTTCAATTTGATTTCGAAAATTCTGTCATGGAATCCTCCACGAATTATTCCCATATTTTTATGATTTAATGCATGTAAAATAGTTTGGAACAAAATGCAAATGCATAATGTAAGATAGAAACTATAAATATAATTATGCAAAGATGCAAATGAAAAAATGAAAATGTAAATACAAACGTAAAAATGCAAAGATGCGAATGCAAATGCAAAGATATGAATGTAAAATGAAAATCTAAAAAATGCAGAAATGCAAAAATAAGAATGCAAATTGTGCAATGCAAATGCATGTATGAAAAAGGTATTAATCAATAGTGATCATTTTAAAACAACTTTCATTGAACACAAAAGTTTCGATACATCAAACAAAACTTTACATATAGGGGATAAATTTCACTCCTAACTTCTTTATTTCCCTTAATAGCCAAATTAACTTCCACTCATGCTCAGGTATGGAGTTGTTAATATGTTTTTATTATCTCGTGAAGCCAACTAAATCAACTAGTTTTATTAGCTACATTGCTTGCTTGAGTAGTAACTTCCTTCATGACAATGTCTTTTTCTTTCATCTTCTTTCATCAACGTATTATTATTGGCTTTAATTGATTTTAATTCAGTATCAATCTCATGCTGATGGATCTGATATGATACTTCCTTGTTGGCTATGACCCCTCTTAACATTTTATTTTCAGCTTGATATTTTTCCAAATCAATGATGGTTGTATTGCGTCTTTCTTCAGCAATCTATAAATCATGAGAGAACTTCCTCGCTCGATCTTCATGTATCTTTTCATTCTTTCTCCATTGCTCAGCATCATTTTTCAGTTTACTGATCCCTGTTGTCCATTCTTCTTCATAGCATTTGGAAGATCTTGCTTATTTGCAAAAACTAGCAGCACAGTATCCCTCAACTCATCCTGCCAATGCACATAAAAATAATGTGTTAAGTGTCGGCGGAACCACCCTACCCATCCCATCCAATAACCACACAACTGTGCTCATTGCAACAATAACAAAAATCTTTGCTGCTTGGATACCTCATTCAACATCCTGTGCAACTCATCCCTAGCTTCAACCACACTATCACGATCATTGCTATCAACCACAAAAATAAGTCCTTGCGTGTTTTGGAAGTGATGCCTCCGCAATGGCCGGATCTATGCAGAATGTCAAAGATAAGTCAATTCATTAATCCAGGTAAATAAACACCACATGCTCTTAGTGTTGAGAAGGGCACAAGGCGCACTAAGACGATAGGGGTTTTATAGCCAAGGTGTAAGGCACGCGCCTTATTGAAGTGATGCGCACATTTTAAAAATAAAAGATATACAAATTTTTTCCAGTTGTATAATCAAACAAAAAGAACAGTTCATGCAATATAAATACCAAAGAGTATTCATTATTAGCATTTTATGTATTAAACATTTGTTTCATCAACCATTGAAACTGAGAACCCCAGCAAAACCACCTTCCTTCCTTGGTCCACAATTCCACATAAGAAACTGAAACAATAAATAGAAGTCTAATAATGAGTTGGCATCAACTTCTTTACTTGTCTCCTTCTTGTCCCTCCACCTCACACTCTCAACAAACGTGTCTTCCTCCTTGTTAACACTACCTACACCCTAAACCCCACTTCTATCCACCCTAATCCTCCATTTTCGTATTTCTAAATTGTGTTTCCAAGCTCAAGAACCCATCACTATACAACAAAACTCACTAGAACCTATCTTTTCCTCTCCCGATTCTCAATTCGTGCATGCATGCCTCTCTCATTTTGTCTGCTAAGTCGGTTGTCTTTTTTAACACAAAAAATGGCCTCTATTCATCCCCATTGTTTCTCTCACTTCAAAACTTCAAGACAAACAGTAATTATATAAGGTAAAGCACCTCCCCAATCTGTATTTCACGCCAAATTTTCATACGTCTCCCATGAAACTCTCTTTTCTAATCACCCCCACCATATTTTACTCTTTTCTTCACTGACATTTCGTTTTTACTTCTTTTGTGTTGTTGATATATAAGTTAGTACGTAAAACACAATAAAAACGACAATTTTTTTTTTGAAAAGGCAGTGCCTTGGTGCCTAGCGCGCCTTGATGCGCTTCATTGAAATCGCCACGCCTAGACCTAATTAGGCGCTTCACCCTCACCTAGCCTTAGCACCTAGTCGCACCTCAATTGAGCCTTTTTAAACACTGATGCACTTCTTAATTATTCTAAAAGATCTAACATGATCTAAGATATAATCAAAACAGTAGGTACAGTTTTGACTGCTAAGTATCCACATTATCCTAAATGAAGATCCAACTCGTGTTTATCTCCAATCAAGGAACTACATGTATTCAGTTTATCAAGGTATAGTTTATATAATCTACGAAACAAGCCCATTCCCACTCATAGATTTCATAACAAAACGAACATAACACAAGATGCCCTAGATAAGATCCTTTTGATGCATTTTTTCACAGTTGATAATAACAAAATTGAAGAAAACTAAAGCATGGTACCTTGTCCTGGCCACCAACATCCCAAACAGTGAAACTGATGTTCTTGTATTCCACAGTCTCAACATTGAAACCTACAAGATAAAAATATATCATAATTAGCCATCTTTTAAGCAAATGAAGCCTCAAGTGTTAAAACTGCAAAAGGCGGAAATGGCGACTTACCTATGGTGGGAATGGTAGTGACAATCTCTCCCAACTTCAGCTTGTAAAGAATTGTAGTTTTACCAGCGGCATCAAGTCCAACCATCAGTATGCGCATCTCTTTCTTGGCAAAAAGCCGGCTGAATAGCTTCCCGAAAGACAGTCCCATTTTTCACGTCTGCAAACACCAATATCCACATATCAATTAAGATAACCTTCAATTTATTTATGTGTTATAAGATCAACCAAAAAAGTGACCACAACTACAATTTAAATCCCTGGTTCTGGTTCGAGGGGCGATCGGGAACCCAACAGAGACTAAATTTAATCCAGATCAGCACATGGAAATCTAAATACTAATAAATCACGGCGTGAAATAAATTCAAGAAAACGCAGATTGAATAGATTTAACGAACTTACGATGCTCCAAAGAATCAGAGAAGATAAAACAACGCAAAGGATTGTAAAACCAAGGTGTTTTAACAAAAATTGAATTCAATTTTTTTTTAAAAAAACGGGAGTTGGGGGGGCGAAGCAGATCGGGAAAATTAAGTGAAAAAGTGAGAATATTTTTAGGTTTTGAGAGACTTGCTTGAGAGAAATACCAACGATTAGTACGCGAAGCCGATCAAAAGAGAGGAGCGAAGATCCATATCTATCTCTCGAAATCGCAGGAGCTGTCTTTCAGTGAATTTACGCAGATTTGGAGATGGGCATTTTATTTATAAATCCAAAATAGAATCTTAGTTTGATGGAACGCCGTCTGCCCATTTCTTATTGTTCTCAAAGGTTGCGATAGAATTTTTACGAGGTAATTCAAATAAATTAGAATATGTATGAATTGGAATCTGTATGAATTGAAATCTAATTTCATATTCTGTTTGGTTGACAGGAAATAGAATTGGAATCCAATTTCATATTCTGTTTGGTTCACATACATATTAGATTAATTTAATTTTAGTAATGTAAAATGACAAAATTGTATTCCTTATTTTTTTTACTTTATTTTAGTTTATTTTACAACTTACATGTAGTAATATATTATAAAAAAAATAAAAAAATATTAAAATTTTATTTTATTGATTGATTATTCATTTCAATAAATTATAAAAATCATGCTAATAAACATTATAAGTTAAAATCATCGCAATCAAATTATGTTAATAAGTTACCAAAAGATAAAGCAATATTTCGATACATTCCAATCGGAGTATGTTAATTAGTTACCAAAAAATATACCAAAAACTATTTTTATTCAATATATAAATTAGAAACTCGACCCGACACGGCTCAAAATAATAAAAAAATTATTTTTATTCAATAAAAACATTGACTTAATTGAAAAAAATTATATATAGAGGGGTATTATTGTAATTATTCCTAAATATATAAGGTAAAATTATATATTTTTTTCAGGTCGGTCCGGTTTTTTTCACCCTAAACCCGAACCCGACCCGACTTGACCCGAATATCACACTTAAAAAAAACCCGACCCGGCTCGACCCGAATATCACACTTAAAAAACCCGACCCGAACAAAATAAAGTTTCATCCGACCCGACCCCGAATATATGAATTAGAAATCCGACCCGAAATAGAAAAAAAATTATTTTTATTTAATAAAAACAGTGACTTAATCCAACCCGAATTATATATATTTTCGGGTCGGTCCGGTTTTATTCACCCTAAACCCGAACCCGACCCGCTCCGACCCAAATATCACACTTAAAAAAACCCGACCCGACTCGACCTGAATATCACACTTAAAAAACCCGACCCAAACAAAATAAAGTTTCATCCGACCCGACCCGAATATATGAATTAGAAATCGGACCTGACCCGACCCGACCCGAAATAATAAAAAATTATTTTTATTTAATAAAAACAGTGACTTAATCTGACCCGACCCGAATTATATATATTTTCGGGTCGGTCCGATTTTTTTCACCCTAAACACGAACCCTACCCGACCTGAATATCACACTTAAAAAAACCCGACCCGAATATCACACTTAAAAAACCCGACCCGAACAAAATAAAGTTTCATCCGACCCGACACGAATATATGAATTAGAAATCCAACCCGACCCGACCCGAAATAATAAAAAAAAATTATTTAATAAAAACAATGACTTCATTCGACCCGACTTGAATTATATATATTTTCGGGTCGGTCCGTTTTTTTCACCCTAAACCCGAACCCGACCCAACCCGAATATCACACTTAAAAAAACCCGATCCGACCCGACCAAAATAAAATTTCACCGACCCGACCCGACCCGAAATAATAAAAAAAATATTTTTATTCAATATATGAATAAGTTACCAAATGATTGATGAGGGTAGTATGGTCAAATTTCAATTCCCTCCAACAATGGAATTGAATTCTATTCATTTTTGGATTGAATTCACTTTCCCTCATTTGATGGAATTGAATTCCATCAAGGATTCCAATTCCCTTGAAAAATTTGAACCAAACATAGGAAAGTGGTAGAATTGGATTCCATTTCCCACCAATTCCAAGGGTTTCCATCGAACCAAAAGCCACTAAAGGGGGCAGTCAGTTAGCGTCCTTCCTTTTGACGCTGTTATAACGACGCTTTCTATGCACGCGTTGTATTCATCAGTTAAGAGACTTTTCTTAGACCTAGTATAAAAATAACGGGTAAATTAAAATATTTACTCACTGAATTATATTCTCTCTCATACTTTCCTCATCTAACTTTTAATTTTTTATTATGCTTATTGAATTTATAGATTAAATCATTTTTCTCACTCCCTGTTAATTCTCTAACATTTTGATGACGTGATATTTTTTTACTATTCTTTAATATAAAATAATTAAAAAATACAAAAAATCAAAAAGTGATTGGATGCCACCGTCGACCGCCATCGATAGTGGTTGTTTAGTCTCAAATTTCATTGGTCGCTTCGTCTCGACATCGTGATTTCAAATCCGACCTTCATTTTTTCAGAAGTTTCTCCGAAGTCCACAAATTTGAGATTGAAAGTGAGGAATCCGAATTAGTCGATATTCACAAGTTTTGAGATATTTTCCGGTGAAACAACCACCATATTTTGACTCAGGAGGACGAGATGCACTAATCCATGAATTTTGGGACCGAACGGCCACCGTTAACCGGTGGATGTTGGCCGAAATGAAAATGACATGGTGGTCGACAAAGAGAAAATGAAGAAAAAAAAGGGTAAATTACACAATTTCTCACTGAACTTTACTCTCTCTCCTATTTTACTGACCGAACTTTCAATATAATATTCGAAAATGATGTCGTTTTAGTGTATATTTAAGTTTTTCAAAACGATATTGTTTTGATGATTGTGCCACGACATAACGCCATTAAATAGTTAACGGCAGTGTGAGAAAAATGTTTTAATTTGTAAAGTTCAGTGAGCAAAATAGAAAAATTGAAAGTTAGGTGAGGAAAATAGGATAGAGAATATAGTTTAGTGAGGAACGATGTAATTTACCCTAAAAATAAATGTACGATTTTTGTAAATTGGTGTTTAAACATTTTTTTGGTAATTTCAAGTGTCTAATGTTATAAATATAATCGTTTTAGATGCATTGATCATAGCGATCGTTAAAAAGTTTTGTTAAGTAACGCATGTCATGTTATAGTAATTTTAAAAATTCTAATTTAAATAAAAAACTTAAATTATATATATTTTTTAAAAAATCCAATTTTTTTTTTCAAATCTTGAAAAAAACCACAGAACTTTGAAAACTCTAAATTCAATTCATACACCCACATTGATCGTCACCCTTGCCGTTGACTAAACCTACCTTTGATCACGCCTCAAGTTGACAATCAGCCACCTGATGAATACCCACTAGCAAACCTTAATCACGGTTTAAATCCACGAACATGGCAAAAAATCCTGATAATTCATGATCCCATAGGACGTGATGGCGTGAGGGACGGTATGGGGAAATTCGGAAAGGGTGAAGGCAATGGCAACGACGTCAACGATGGTTAGGGTTTTTAGAAATGATTTTAAGGATTTTGAATTTTTTTATAATTTTAGAAAATTCTAGATTTTTTAATATGATAATATTTTTTAGTTTTTTGAAAAAAATAAATTTTATAAAATTATCAGAATATGACACATGTCACTTAACAGAGAAATGTAATGGTCAAGACACCTAAAGTGGTAACATTTGTAACCTTCGACACTTAGATTGACCGAAAAAAGTTTAGACACCACTTTGATAAAAAATGATATAGTTTGAACAAATTTTTTTTTGTATTAAGCCTTTTTTTAATTGAACACTTAATTATTCATTTTTTCAAAAAAAAAAAAACTTTTAATTTTATCATTTAATTTTGACTTACTGTAAAATAAGTATCCAAACTAAACGTAAAGTTAAACGTCTAAAGAATTTTTTTGTTAATATAGGTGCCTAACGTTCCAACGTTACAATTTTAGGTTCCTAGACTGTAACAACCATTAAATTTTATTGTTAAGTGACACATGTTATTCTCATATTTTTTAAGTTTTTATTTTATAAAAAAATGTAAGAATATTATTAATTTTAGAAAAAAATCAACTTTTTTGAAGTTACAAAATAAACCCTAAAACTCTAAAATCCTTCATTCCTGACCACATACCTTTGCAGGCCATTACCGTTTGCCTTCACCATCATCGAATGGTCATCCACCCATAGTCAAACCTCCATTGCCGATCATTCCTCTTATCATTGTCTCAATCCACTTAAATTCATAAATCCCAAAACTCAAATCCCTAAACCTATTACCCTGAATCCTAAATACCCATAATCGACCATGTTTTTGCCTTCAATAAGATTCTGTTGTAGTTTAAAGTGTGAAATTACTGCTGAATTTTCATAATCGAAGGTGATGATTTTTTTTCTTCAAAGCTGAGTTGTTGCTTTCGAATGGACGGGTGACGCAAATCCATCGTGCAAATTGGCTAGGCTTATATTGTTGGATTTCGGTCGATTGACAATGTTAGTGGCAGTAGACGTTCGTGGTGACCAGTGATAACTTGTAGGGGAGGTTTGAAATTAAAACTTTTAGGGTTTTGGGGCATGTTTGGTGTTTATATATATATATATATATATATATATATATATATATATATAAATTGAGGTTAATATTAATTTTATAAATATAATTTTTTATTTTTCAAAATACAATATTTAAAAATTTATAAAAGTGACACATGTCATATAACGGTTGAATTTAACGATTGTTATGACGTAGACACCTAAAATTATAACGGAGAAAATTTTAGTCAGCAAAAAAATCTTTAGACACCTAAAATTAACTTTAAATAAAGTTTAGGCACTTATTTTATATCAATACTTTAATTTTTGAATTTCATTTTTTTCTCCATCAATTAGTTGTGTGAAGACAACAGTAAAATATTGTGTTTCGGGGTAAATTTATTTAAGAAATTAACTTAATATTTTACCCTTTTTCCTATGACAATAATTCTTTTACGTTATCATTCAACTATCATTCATTACTATTTACGATGTAACTAATACCAAAACATTTATCTTTCTCTTCTTTTTAATCTTATCAGTTTGATTTTTGTTGCAGTCCTATTAAAGATCAAACTTAAATCAAAACTTTAATGTTATCTTTGTATGATTTATAATTTTCATTGTCTGTGTGAAAATATTGATACACCGACATAGAAGCCAGACACCATTGAACGATTA